TTTAAGACATAATTAGACCCACAAATCGGTCTTTTCTTTTCTTTGCTTTCTTATGTTTAGTTAACATAGTTTGATCACACAAGTTATGTGTTTCTTGTATAGTAAGTTAACTTTCTCCATCGATTTGCTGCAATTTAGACTATAGATTCTGCAGCAGAAAAGAAAAGCTGTTTAAACTGAGATTGACTGATTTAATAAACTGCAGGGAACGGTGAAAGTTTCCATGATCCTCTAGGAACTCGAAGAGGATTCATTCAAAGAAATTGCTTTAGATGGAACAATCAGAAATTGATCTTACAATGTTTCATGGCCTTAGCTTTTGTGGGAATCACTTCGTCAACAACTCAACCAGATATCGAAGGTCTATATATAATTAGCCATTGTTTATAAATCATTAATGATCTTGTAGTATTAACTCGCTTCTTGATTCATTTGCTAGGAGGAGCTCTGTTGCAGCTCAGAGATTCGCTTAATGATTCGAGCAATCGTCTAAAATGGACACGCGATTTTGTGAGCCCTTGCTATAGTTGGTCTTATGTTACCTGCAGAGGCCAGAGTGTTGTGGCTCTGTAAGTACTCTTAAAGATCACTTCTCAAGTTTTAGTTACCAAGATTTCTCATCATGTTGAAAAACTTGTTTTGTATCAATCTGTAGAAATCTTGCCTCGAGTGGATTCACAGGAACACTCTCTCCAGCTATTACAAAACTGAAGTTCTTGGTTACCTTGTAAGAGATCATAAACCAATTCCATTACAAGTTTCTTTTTAGGTTCCATTACTCATAGTAATTGTTTTTGATGCAGAGAGTTACAGAACAATAGTTTATCTGGTGCCTTACCAGATTCTCTTGGGAACATGGTTAATCTACAGACTTTAAACCTATCAGTGAATAGTTTCAGCGGATCGATACCAGCGAGCTGGAGTCAGCTCTCGAATCTAAAGCACTTGTAAGTCCACTCAAAAACTCTTTAGGAACAATCTTTGAAATGTGACTCTGTGAGAGCGTTTGGCTAAGATAAAACATTGAAATTTAATTCACAGGGATCTCTCATCCAATAATTTAACAGGAAGCATCCCAACACAATTCTTCTCAATCCCAACATTCGAGTAAAAAAAACTATTTTCCTCATGAATCTACCTAATTAGTCACAGTGACTTGTCAGTACTATAATCACGTTTTTGTGATTTTTCTGCAGTTTTTCAGGAACTCAGCTTATATGCGGTAAAAGTTTGAATCAGCCTTGTTCTTCAAGTTCTCGTCTTCCAGGTTCTTAATTATTTCTTCTTTCTCCAATTCACATACAAACAGAAAGACTTAACTTAGTATCTTTATGTTCAGTCACATCCTCCAAGAAAAAGCTGAGAGACATTACTTTGACTGCAAGTTGTGTTGCTTCTATAATCTTATTCCTTGGAGCAATGGTTATGTATCATCACCATCGCGTCCGCAGAACCAAATACGACATCTTTTTTGATGTAGCTGGTAAGAAGTTACATATACTTATAGTCAAACATCTCATTAGATCAATATGAACTCTTGAGCCAATATCCTTTTTCCTTAAAAAATGCAGGGGAAGATGACAGGAAGATTTCCTTTGGACAACTAAAACGATTCTCTTTACGTGAAATCCAGCTCGCAACAGATAGTTTCAACGAGAGCAATTTGATAGGACAAGGAGGATTTGGTAAAGTATACAGAGGTTTGCTTCCAGACAAAACAAAAGTTGCAGTGAAACGCCTTGCGGATTACTTCAGTCCTGGAGGAGAAGCTGCTTTCCAAAGAGAGATTCAGCTCATAAGCGTTGCGGTTCATAAAAATCTCTTACGCCTTATTGGCTTCTGCACAACTTCCTCTGAGAGAATCCTTGTTTATCCATACATGGAAAATCTTAGTGTTGCATATCGACTAAGAGGTATATATACTTAGCTTCTCTATCACTTAACCAAATAATAGATTCTATAATGTGTGTGTACATATGTGACATTGTAGATTTGAAAGCGGGAGAGGAAGGATTAGACTGGCCAACAAGGAAGCGTGTAGCTTTTGGTTCAGCTCACGGTTTAGAGTATCTACACGAACATTGTAACCCGAAGATCATACACCGCGATCTCAAGGCTGCAAACATACTTTTAGACAACAATTTTGAGCCAGTTCTTGGAGATTTCGGTTTAGCTAAGCTTGTGGACACATCTCTGACTCATGTCACAACTCAAGTCCGAGGCACAATGGGTCACATTGCGCCAGAGTATCTCTGCACAGGAAAATCATCTGAAAAAACCGATGTTTTTGGTTACGGTATAACGCTTCTTGAGCTTGTTACTGGTCAGCGCGCAATCGATTTTTCACGCTTGGAAGAAGAGGAAAATATTCTCTTGCTTGATCATGTAAGATTGACTTCTTTTACATGCTTTCTTCTATCTGAAAAGACTTGAAACTAATCTTAAGTTGTTGGATGTGTATGAAACAGATAAAGAAGTTGCTTAGAGAACAGAGACTTAGAGACATTGTTGATAGCAATTTGACTACATATGACTCCAAAGAAGTTGAAACAATCGTTCAAGTGGCTCTTCTCTGCACACAAGGCTCACCAGAAGATAGACCTGCGATGTCTGAAGTGGTCAAAATGCTTCAAGGGACTGGTGGTTTGGCTGAGAAATGGACTGAATGGGAACAACTTGAAGAAGTTAGGAACAAAGAAGCATTGTTGCTTCCGACTTTACCGGCTACTTGGGATGAAGAAGAAACCACCGTTGATCAAGAATCTATCCGATTATCGACAGCAAGATGAAGAAGAAACAGAGAGAGAAAGATATCTATGAAAACAAACTTGCATTACAGAAGATAAACTTAGAAAGTATTTTAAGCTGCTAATTGTATTGAACCAGGTGGGGAAAACGAAGCAAACACACAACGTTGATTTGTGTAATAGATGATATGATATACATAACTAGTTGTGTTTTGTATATATATGAATTTGGTTATTTTCGTATGATAATGATGATCATGGTTGTTATGGTGGCAGTGTTTGCTCTGTTTTTCTACATACGTCGTCGTTTCGTGTGTGTCCCGTAAAAATTATAAACTTCTGAATCCAGTCCTTGAAGTTTAGTTGGTTTTTCAATTTTACCTTCAACTTTTGTATTCTAACAATTTACCCCACTTGTGACATTGTTTATGGCTAATTTTACGTCGAGTATTCTTGTTTTTTTCTGCACGTCGAGTATTCTTGTTTCTAGATTGTAAATGATGTACTATCAAGAAAACTAATTGTCCAGTCTATATATCTCATGAAATTATTAGACTAGTGATTTATTGAAGGGATGATACAGTGACAGAACAAAACAAATCTAGATGTTTTTGTTGTAGTGACATGGATTCAGAGTGTAGATTCATAAGAACAGAACTTTCATGGATTAAGATTTATTCTTAAACTCTAGATCCTCTGGTATTAAAATACAGATTGTTAATTTTGGTGTTGTGTACTTTGGGTGCGTTAAATGAAGGATGAGGCAAGGAATGGGACCGGAGACAGACGTAAGCGGTCAGTGAAAAAGAGAACTCCTTTCTAACTTCCTCGTAAACCGGGCTGTTTTTCTCGGTTCTTGGTGCTTGGTTTCCGCTGACACCGACATGTCCGGTTCCCAGGTAACTTTCTTCTCCACCGTCCGATTCAACTATGAATGAACGTCCAGATCTTCGTTTTCCTTTTCTATCTCTTTGGTTTGTTATGACGTGTTCTTCGGTATTTCTCCTGAGCCTCTCAGACGTACCCTAAATAACAAACAACGGGTCCCCAAAAAAAAAAAATTTATATGCAAAATTTTATTAAATACGCAATCAATAGGGAGACAATGTTACAAGCTATATGTATGCATATTTACTCCCTACAAAAAAAAATATGTATGCATATTTTACATGTTGAAAAAAAAAGAGTTATCATGTGAAAAAGTGGGATGATATTCAAAATATAGTAGATATATCAACCATGATTCATATTAGTATAGATAGATTTTGTTACTAGTATAAAACCTATAACATTGAAAAAAAACATTTCTAACCAGTATTAGTATTAGTATATACATGACTTGGTAAAAAAAAAGAAATGTAAATCATACTACTTTAATTTATAACTAAAAAAAAAGACAAAATTTAGTAAGTCGTTGAGGTGGAGCCAAAAGCAATAATAAGGTAATAATAAATCGAGAGGAAGGTACTTGTCTTGCATTCAATACCATTAGACATATTATATGCACATTTACCATTATGTATAATATTTTATTTATTTTAAATTGTGAATTAGACACTTATATTCAGAAAGGAAAAATGATCCTATAACTACAGCATGTAACTTTTGCAGTAGAAATCAATAATATTCGGTCTAGAAACTACAACAAAATTGTTCAAACTATGAATTTTGATTACTTCGTATATGGTACTAAAGACAAACACTCAATCCTTGATGTATATATTACAACATGTGTCTTTTGGAGACTTTTTCCTTCTGATAAAAGCTTTTGGAGACTTGACAGAGATTTTAAATAAGAGGAAGATTGCTGTTGGCCTCGGAAATGACTGAAATTAAATATACACAAGAAACAATTAAAGACAATTGTAGATATTTTCTTAAAAAGGAGATTGAATCTAGTCATGGAAATGGTTTGAACTTTGAATGTACTAACTCGAAGTATGTCGGATTTTACCACTCTCGAGTCTCGACTACACTGTAAAGTTCTATTTTAGGTAACCCTACACACACCATATAAAGACAATAACCAAAATTAACCAAAACCTATTAAACCAAAGTTACTAAATCGATGTAAAAAAATGCAAAAGAAAAATCTAGGGCTTAGATCTTTTGTCCTCTCTATAAATAGAAGAGACTACTTGGGTCTCTTTGCCCTGTCACATGCTTCCTTCTTCTTCTTCTTTTTTACTTACATAAAGTTGCTTACATTCTTGTCCTCTTCATCTTATTCTTCTTATAGTGAAGCGATTTAGGGTTTAGAGGAATGTTGTTTGGCTCGAGGTCATGGAGAGTAATTCGTTAACCCAACTCAAAACTCTAAATGATTCTCGGACCAGGCTTCATTCCCCTCAACCTATTTTATCGCATTTTTCAGAAAATCTTTTCACATTTTATATCACTTCTCAGTTCTCACCCCATTCAAAACCTATATATGTTTCAGAAGCTTTTTGGCCCATCTAGAGTATAACCATGTTACAGTGTTAATTCTTATATATAACCATTGACAAACTCTTTGAATAGCTAGAATTATGTTCCCTAGAATATAAACTATTTATTTCTTCTATCTTTCACTGTTTCCCCTTTTGATTTACTTTGAAACGTTTCTAATCTTTATTTGCACGCAGTAGCTGTTCTTTATACTAAAAAAAAAAACACGAACAAAAGAAATCTGGATTGGATCTATGCATGCAAATCTTGTTTTTTTATACACTTTCAGAGGCATTTTATTTACTGATTCTTTAGCACTAATATTATTAACTTTGGAAACACAATCTGTTAAGGCATCTTGGAGGATATATAAATAAGATCGAGGGAGCAAATCTTGTAATTTGTGAATTGTTCCATTTTTCACATCTTTGAGTTCAGTGTATGATTTTTTGCAACCTTTAAATCAGTATATAAACCATAACCATTGACATATGATCATTTCATTTGTCTTCCATTTTAACTGAGGTGAAAAAGGAAGAGAAAAATAAGGGTTAAACCAAAGAACAAAAGAAATCTTTGCACGTGAATATGATGATATGGAATGGATGGCTTCTCCTCAATATTAAAAGTCTCGTCAAGTTGAAATGCTATTTACACATCTACACGTAATTGAAAAGGACCTTTTATTGAGGTTTTACATATTGTAAATTCACAGATGTATTGATTGTTATTTTCATGAAAGAAGCGAGATTGGACGTGATTTGCGAGTGTATATATATGAACTACGCTACCAAGTATACAGTGTTGACTATTGCTTTATTTGGGTGTGTTAAATAGTTTAGGTAGACTTGAGGAGTAACTTAGAATTTCAAAAAGTTGGTAAGCTTTTTTATACGAGCAAAGTCAGTTTAATTTGTATTTTTATAAAAAAAAGTCTATCATCAAGTTCTTTTGTCCATGAAGACTCGTAAGTAAACGATGAATCAGTCAGGAAAAAAAAAAAAAAATCTTATCTGAAAATGGAATATCGGAATTTACAAAAACAACCTCAGATTTTATTTTTATTTTGTCAACAAACCTCGAATTATTTAAATGGAACATAATCAACCAATGTGATTTACAACTATTTCGTAAACGATGTCGTTTTGGTGTTTGACGAAGACGAACCAACGTTGCTTTTCAGACACGAAAGCAATTCGGTTAATTTGTTTCCACTCCATTACTCGCATCTCTCTGCTTCTTCTTCATATTCTTCTTTACTCTGTCTGAAAATCTCCTTCTCCTTCTTCTTCTTCTTCTTCTTTCTTCTTCTTCTTCGTTCTTTTCTGAATTATTTTCAATGGAGCCCAATAACGTAGAGCGTAATCTTCAATCTCTGAGAAGATTATACAGTCTTCTCGTAGCAAATGCAAGGAACGAATATATTCCTGAGACATATAAGGTAAGTTTAATTTCTCTGTAATTTTCATCTTCAACCTCAGAATCATATTTCTATATCATCGAGTAATCTAACATTGAATCTTCTATTCGCAGTTGGACGACAACACTCAGTTTCTATTAAAGCGATTGCTCGATTTTGCTTCCCACGAACACTTTGTTACACAATCAAACGTAAGTAACCGTCAATATTCTATCGAGTAAATACTCTGTTTTCACATGTTTCATGTTTCTGAATTTTGGTTACTATAATTTTAAATTTTGTTACAGTTACTTGCAACACAATTACGTGTGTTTCCTAAAACGGTTTTACACGGTGCAAAGCCGTCGAACGTGGCGGATTCTTCTGAGACGACGCCACCTGCAATGTTGTCTCAGATCAATGGTTCTCATATTACGCGAGTTAGTAAACCATTGGAGGCGAAAGGAACATTGCAGAGAGATCTGAGAGTTGATCAGATTCGGAGCAATCCTAGTAAGGATGTTTTGACAGAAGAAGTCGTTGATGCAATAGAGCAAATCGATACACAACTCTCCGCTTTAAGTTTCGTTTCTAGTCGTGTTGACTCTGATGAAAGAACAAGGTCTGTCAAGTCCTTTGTAACTCCTCCCACTGAAGAGTGTAGACAAAACAGTCAAGCTTCTATGCCTTGTTTAAGAAGCAATTACATGACGGTGAGTCAGAAAAGTGTGATTAGTGGTGCAGAAGTAACTTTCCCTTATAATGATCAGTTAGTTCGGGTTACGTCACCACCGCAGCCATTACCGCCTCGTGCTGTGAGTGGTTTCAAGAAGCCAAATCAAAGTAATAGAGCGTCACAAAAGATGCCGATTATGAAACCTACTTTGATGGATCAAGAAACCGAAACGTTTGATGATGATTCTTCTGAAACAGAAGCTGACCAAACACCGTCTGCGACAGGTTCTGAGTCGGAAGACGAAGAAGTTTCAACTAGTCAAGAATACTCTGGGGAAACAGGGTCAAGCTCTGGCTCGGAGTGGGAAACTCAAGCAGAGAATGACACCGAGTCTAAGTCAGAATCATCATATCCACCACAGAATGATGACTCTGTCTCTGAAGTCAGCACTTCTCCTCCGCATACAGACAGGGACACATCAAGAGAACCTGGAAAACAGAGGAGAATTGTAATGGGGCGGTTTAAAAGGATAAAGAATAAGATAGGACAAATATTTCACCATCATCACCACCACCACCACCATCATTATCACCACGACAAGGAAAAGCCATCAGCTTGGAATAAGTTGCAGAGTAAATTTCACCATAAGCACCAAGAGAAATCAAAAGAGAGGAAAAGACCGATGTCAGAATCCAAAGGTCTTACTACACATAAGCAGCAACATCAAGGTGGCCACTTTCATGCGCTAGTGGAAGGGTTGGTGAGACACAGAAAACACTCAAAAAAACAAAAGCATCAGCTGAAGAGTGATGCCAAGAAAACAGAGTGGTGGAAATTATTGAAGAAGCGTCAAGGTGGTGGCGTGAAGATTCCCAAAAGAGGACGTGTGAAGTTGGAAAAAAAAAAACATTATTTGTCCAAAAATGTTTAAGAAACAAGTCTCGATTATTATATTGCAGAGCAAAACAATTGTAAAATATACAAGTTGAAAGTTTCATGCCTCCCTCGTGTTTTTAAGAAACTTTGTTAAGAAACAAATCACTTATCTCTCCCACAAGAGAGGCACTATCATCATAGCACATCTCACACTCATTATCCTCCCAAGAGTTTGCATACGTGCAGCGATCACAGTACCAGAAAGGACCAGTCCCGCCGTTGTATGACTTCACCTTTACATCGACCAAACCATCTTGTAAAGTTTTCATAAAATCATAAAAGTAGTTACCAATGTTGCTTGTCGCAGTAGGTATCGTATGTCTGAAGAAAGTACACTCTTCATAAGTAGCTGCAGCGAGGACGATATCTTTTTGCTCTTGTAAAGTGTTTGAGTAACTCTGGAGCGTGGCGATTGCATTTCCTTGGAGGTATCGTAGATACTCCTTCTTCGAGTTCTCATACTCTGTGTGGAAATAGTCATACACACAACACCATTTAAGGACTCGTCTGCATTGAACAATCAACATCAACCCTTCTCTTATAATCATAATGTCTTGCTCCCTTAATAAGTCACTCGGTTTCTTGATGTTGGTTTCCTCGAAAGCTTCTAGATCGGATTTGGCTTGCTCCAGTAACTTCTGACACACGTTCCAGCGATCCTCACATAAAATCCCCACTTCTGTTTTAATACAGAATCCAGAGTCTACTGCTTCAATTTTGTGGGCTTCCTCTGACCGCAAACACCTCGAACAGAAACGAAGCCTAAAGCAAGATAACACAAAAGAGTAAGGATCAAGACTTAAACAGAGAAATCCAATTCTATGTAATTTTCAAAATTAGGGTGAAACCTGCAGACACAAGTCAAGAACTGGGGCATTTTTGTATCAGACTCCAGAGAACAGAGGCAATGAGGGCAAGTCACTGTCTTGGTTTTGGTCGGATAAAGGCTAAATGATTCATCTGATATTTTCATTGTGGCACTACACAACCAATCAGAGGCCTTGTTACAACTCACTGGTCTGTGTGACTCAAGTCTGCATCTCCAACAGAAGATATGACCACAGATACACACCACGTTTAAACTATACTCATCATCATCATCATTCTCTTGATGAAACTCAATAACATAATCGCAATTCCGTGCAGGACACTGTTTGATCATCAATACCTTGTTTCCTTCAATGTAAGATCTCCAAATGTACCTCTCGTACATCTCTTGATCACGTACTGTTAGTTTCTCAATCGTGTCTGGTCCAACCGCAGATCGACAATCTTGATCAGGACAAGAGATTGTGGTTTGGATTTTCTCCACATAGTAGAAATTCTTCTCAAGATACTCTCTCCAATATTTTGAGTCGAACTTGTGAGAACAAAAGGGCGTGGAGATTAAATCATTATCACCATCAAACTCATAAACATCAGTCTCCAAGCTAATCTCGCTAGATGAATCTGGACTGGGATCGCTCATGACTGATTTCAAACCTGAATCCATCAATAATTTCTCCTTGTTTTCACCTAAACGCTCTGAAACACGAAGCGAGTCCCATCGGAGATACATAAGAAGTACGGTCGCATCGGAGTTTGATATGAAGAAGATGTCAGAGATTTCATTGATCTGTTTCTTCATCTTTACGGTAATTTCATTTCTCGTTAGAACAGAGTAGGGTCTCCGTCCATCGTACTCCATTGTTTTCTTGAAAATGACAAAACAAAAATCAGAAAGACAAATCGATAAATTAGTAAAGAGCTAGAGAAGATAAACTTGTAAAGAAATAGGGTTAAGGCTTACTAGTAGCTTGCGCCTGAAACAACAAGATTGAATCGAAGGTGGAGATAGCTAATTATCGTCTAGGGTTTGCCATTTTTCACTCTCCAACGGGGGAATTGGGGATATCGTCAAGCTACAAAATTATTA